TTCCTAGGCGGTTGTGTGTGCCAAGTTTCGTGCTACTCCGATGCCGTTTGATGATTTTGGGACATTAACACCTCAAATTCTAAATTTTTTAAGAAACTAGTTTGTTTCTTAAGAGTGAAATCCAGCTTTAACTCTCAAACCGAGAACATGATTTGAGTCCTGTCTTCTCCCACAAATCTCTCGTGCCTAGGTGGCCGTGTGTGCCAAGTTTCGTGCTACTCTGATGCCGTTTGGTGATTTTGGAGCGTTAACATCTCGAATTCTAAATTTCTTAAAAAATTAGTTTGCCTAGAGGAAAATCCGACCCTAACTCCCAAACCAGGAACCCGATTCGAGTCCTGTCTTCTGTCACAAATCTCTCGTGCCTAGGCGGTCGTGTGTGCCAAGTTTTGTGCTACTTTGACGCCGTTTGACGATTTAGGGGCATTAACACCTCAAATTCTAAATTTTTTAAGAAACTAGTTTGTTTCTTAAGAGTGAAATCCGGCTCTAACTCCCAAACCGGGAACCTGATTCGAGCCTCGTCTTCTCCCACAAGTCTCTCATACCTAGGCGGTCATGTATGTCAAGTTTCGTGCTAATCCGACGCCGTTTGGTGATTTTGGGGCGTCAACACCTCGAATTCTAAATTCTATGATGCCATGAACACATCAAAATGCTTGTATTTTTTAACCACTCAAAATCTCATATTAATAGCTAAGGGAACAATCAAGATTCAACCACCTACTATATTTGCATCCATTAGTAGTTCAGACACTAGATTCAATTAAATTAATATAGTAAACCATCAATATGCATAGAACATAATTGCTATAAATCACATTAATATCAACAGTAAATGGAAAGCTACATCAAAGCGTGCACACATGCAACCTGAATAAGAACACACAATGTTTTCAAAATTAGATATCATGGTTAGTAGAGGCCGATCTTTGATCGGGCGAGCGGGGGTGCTCACGAAGTGACCTTCCCCAATCGTACCCAAGTTCCCGAGCCGAGGCAACTTTGGTGATGACGGACACGTGGCCTTAGGCAACGAGTCAGGGTTTCCTAAATTTCCCAAAATAAAATATTTAGGTGGCGACTCTGTATCTTGCAAAGCAGTCCATGTTTGGCACTTCTTTCAAAATCTGTTTTCTCAAAACGATTTGTCGGATTTGGACTCTTTGATTCAGATTATGAACCGTGACAATTTGAGAGTCCTGAGCTGTAGTGACCCCAAATGAACAGAACGGGAGCTCACCCTCCCGGGGCGTTCGGGGGACGTCTACAGTAGGGCCTCACAACGGTGATCTGAACCATTTATTTCATAAGTCTCAAAGAGAAAAACATATATACAAATGATCAACTTGATTGAAAATCAATATATACACTAACTAATTGTGTTTTGTTTTATGAAATTGATGATAAATATTATTTTAAACCAAAACTGTTCATTTTATAAAAGAAAATACGATAGTTAGTATGATTATCGATATCCGATTAAGCTAATTTTTTACATATATATTCTTCTCTTCTAGGTTTATGAGATAAACAGTTTATATTATTGTGGTTAGGGGTCATCAATGGGCCTGGCCAGGCTTACGTAGCCCACAACTATAGTGTCCAAATTCCATATTTTAATGGATTTTTCGAGTTTTGACCAATCAATGGGCTGGTATGGGCCGAGTCTATTTAAAAAATTAAAATCACGTCCCACCCATAAGCCAAAATCTTACGGGCCAAAATAAATCAAAAGGGGCTACACATTCACTTATATTATTAATTTCTACACATTTTTCATTCACATATCCTTAATATTTTCATTAGTTATTTTTCTTATTTACTTTCCAACATAATTCAAGTATTTTGATTTTTTTCTTTCTTTTTTTTTCTTTTTTTTTTACATCCCATATAGTATAAAAATAAAAAATAAAAAAAGCAAGTAACATATTATACCTACAACTGGAGGGGCCAAAATTGGAAAGAAAAAAAAATAAAAGCTTTAAACATGAGAACAAAAATATATATATATAAATACTCAAACTAAACATTAGACCAAAAAAACTCAAACTAAATATTAGACTTACCCATGAGGGCTCTTACAGGCTGAGTTTATGAGCAAACTCAGATTACAAACTTTTGTCTAAAATCCTAAATCATCTTTTATGAGTTGGGATGGGATGAACACTTAAGTGAGTTGGGACGGACCATGAGACGGGTTCGTCAGGTTGGGTAATATCGAGTTTTTTTAATCACAAGCCATTTGGAAACCCTTAATTGTGGTGGAACACCACAGAACCCACAAAGTAGAGTCTAGAAAGTTGTCGAGGAAATAAAGTCTTGAGAGGAGCTGCACTTCCACAACACAAAGTCCGTTGATTTTGAAAGATAGAGGAGGGGATTGAATTAGGATAAATGTGGAACCCACTGTAATGATGTTTGTTTGCAAAATAGGAAAAGGGATTCACAATCCCTTAGGACTATGATAGGTCTTAGAGAAAGGGATTAACAAAGACCTCTAAGGGTTGGATTTCAAAACTAGTGAGGAGATTAGTCTGGAAAAAAAAAATTAAAAAAAAAAAAAATTCTATTTTGCCCATATTATGTGTTGTGTATTTGTGTGGGTCTTTTTTTGTGTGTGTGTGTGTGGGTATTAGGTCATTATATATATATATATATATGTATTAAAATAATATAGTACAAAAAAATATTTTTAAAATATGATTTTTTGATATTAAAATATATCAAAGACATCTAAGAAGGGTGTTTATGGTATTTTATATAGTTAATCCCCTTACTAAAATATATGACAAACAAACACAATTTTTCTTAATCCTCTCACTAACAATCTCATCCAACCTAACTCTGAAAACATAGGGGCCCATAGATCATGAATTTACTTAGATACAAACATTTATTTAGTAATTTATTACCATTATAATTGATATCTTTCAGTGTTCTTCTTAGTATCCCAGGAGAAACATTTCCCAATCTCAGCATTTCATTAATAACCTGCAGTTTTGGCATACCAACACAAGATAATGACGCAGTGTGCCAATTAATTTCCAAAAGAGAATATACATATATACATGGTTTAGAGTGTGAAACTCACATGCATGGTAGCAAACGTGGATTTATATTCATCCCATGTCAGTGGAGATTCCTTATTCTCTCTGTTTTTGAGAAGAATGTCATGCTCCGCCAAAAATAATAATCAATATTAATTAAAATACAAAGAATTGAATGAAATATATATAGATAGATAGATAGTAATTAAATTAGATTAGAGAAAAATATTAGAGTGGATAATGTTGATTGTTGATTTCATTATTACATACCGCTAGATTCTCCACCACCCAAGGGTGTTCTGCAAATAACTTAAAAGACAGTGTTATGGTCGTGGATATGGACTCAACGGTAGCAAACAAAGCTCCAATGGTGATCGGTAGGATGAAATTCTCTGTCAAGAAGAAGTCAGTGTATAACTTTTAGATAATAGTGATGTCCATATGAGGCTTATCTTATTAATAGTAGGTAAGAAGTGAAGTGTTTTGATAAAGAAGCAATGAAGGACTAGCATGGAAACAGGATTGGAGGTGGAAGATGGCAACCAGTGGTACGTCGGCATGGTGGACGGCGAGTGTAGAACAGTAAGTCAGTCACAAATATACATTCTATTTTTGTGGATAATCTACCAAAATCCATGGGGACCAGAGGGTTATACAACATTTTCTCTAACTATGGGACAGTCATGGATGCTTTCATCCCAAATAAGAGATGAAAGATGACAAGATCTTGCTTTGGTTTTGCAAGATATAACTGCTCTGTAACAGCAGACATAGCAGTTCAAAAGGCACATGGGCTTTGGTGTGATGACAGAGCATTGAGAGTCAAGATGGCAGATTTTGGCAAGGAGTCTGGTCCATTCCCAGATCGAACCAAGCACCACAGACCAAAAATGTCATTGCTGTTACCACCACGCATACTGTTGGCCATCAAAGGAACAGATCTTTTGCTGAGGTTGTGAGTGGCAGAGGAGGCCAATCAATGCAATCTGAACCATTAAGGCTTATAAGGAAGGTAATGGTTAGTTGTATGAAAGTGTGGTAGTAAGGTTAAAAGCATCCTCATCAATGGATACTTTCAAGGAGGACATCGCTAGGAGAGGCTTTGGGGAAGTAAAGGTCAAATGAGGGGGTGGAAGAGACATGGTTCTCTCCTTTAAATCAGTTACAGACATGAAGGATAAACTTTAGAGAATGCAGGTTTGGCTCAATGCTTGGTGTGATTCGGTCCAAGAATGGCGACGAGGGTTGGTTATTGAACAAGGAAGATATGTCTGGCTGAGTTGTTATGGCGCCCCGTTGAATCTATGGAGTTTTAAAACATTTAGTAGTATTGTGGAAACTTGGTGAGCAGTGCTCACCATTGATAAGGATACACTTCGGCTCAAATCGCTTCATTGTGGTAAGGTGAAGATAGCCACATCAAGTATGGAGCCTATAAACCACATCATAAATCTGGAGTGCAAAGGTATATTATACCCAGTGAGGGTTTGTGAGGAACAAATTATAGTATCTAAATCACCGTCTGATCAATGTACATCTGAACCCACTGAATGAAAGATCGTAGGGAAGACAATTCCAGAGGCAATTGCAGATGAGCAGCTTACAGACATAAACAGTAGGCATGAGGTAGAAGATGATGATATGGACATCCAGCTAAGCAAGAAAGCAAACTTACGAGATGAGGTGGCTAGAGAGGGGAACAGTGTCTTTCCTACTAACTCAGATGAACTGGACGGAGATGAAAGATTGAGTGATCTCTCTGCTGTTGCTAAAACATATATGATGAAAGATAGGTCTAAGGAAGGTGGCGCATGCGTAAGTCAATCAGCAGGGGTAGGGTTGAGCTCTGAGCAATATGATGATAGTGATAGGCGTAGGGTAGACGCTGAAGTCTACACCTCGGGGTTTATCAGAAGTCTGAGGGGGTCTGATGGTAATCAGCTGGGTATTCAACTTGAAGTGGATCTCAATCGGGCCCAATTGGCAGGTGGTCTAGATGGGCCGGCCCTTAGACCTGATGAGCTGGTTTAGTTTCATCACAATAATCCTCAACATGGCCTTCAGGGGTCGGCTGATAGCACTGTTGGGCAGGTTCAGATTCATCACAGCAACCCACAAGGTCCATCTGTTTATTCAACCCATTCTTTACAAATACCCTTATGTCTAGCTAGTAAGGAGAAATTGAAGGCAAAGAAAGATCAGTATCAAGAACTCAGCTTTAGAAAAGCAAACTAAGGGGAAGTTCGAGGTCAACAAGAGATTGGGGGCATCATCTCTAAACTTGAGGAAAGGATTTGTCTTCAGGTCAGCTGTAGCTGCCATTTCATTATCCATGGCAAAGGGAAATAGTAGAGGTCGGAGAGTGTTATCGGAGACAGAGGCTTCTATACAAATCAGTAAAGCTCTGGGACTTGACTGTGAAGGTAAAGAAGAGGAGGTGCTGAGCAAGTTAGAGGATTTGGAAGCTCAAGATCAACAGAGAGCAAAGAAGGAAGGAGTGAAAAGCTAGTCTTTTACACCCAGCTGGTTAAGTGTAATTTCCATACTCATGAAGATACAACTATGGAATGTGAAAGGAATTGGAAGACCTGAAAAAATGAGGAGGATTAAGAAAAGCCTTCTAGATAGGAAAGTGGATATTGTGTTACTTCAAGAAACTAAGAAGCCAGCAGTGGACTCTGACTTGGTTAGGTCTATGTGGCGTGGGGATCATTTTGATTTCATGGGTGTAGATGCGATTGGACGAGCTGGAGGACTCTTATGTATTTGGAACTCTGAGGTATTTCAATTGAAGGCTTGTTGTAGCTCTCATAATTTCATCCTATTATCAGGTACATTACTTTACAATTTTGATTGTGTTATCATAAATGTGTATGGTCCTAATGAGGTGGGTAAAAAAAAAGAGACGTAGGACTCTTTAGTAAGGTTGAAAGCCAGTTTTCTGGGGCCATGGTGTCTGGGGGGTGACTTCAATGAAATCAGGAGTATCTCATAAAGAATAGGGTGCTCAAGAAGGGATAGAGGAATGAGGGATTTTAATAATATGATTGATCAACTAGAGTTGATAGACATGCCTATGTTAGGGAGGAAGTTTACGTGGTGTAATTCTTAAGCAAGGGAGAAATTGAGCAGAATCGATAGATTTTTGCTTAATTATGAGTCGGTGTCAGAATTTTTCTTTCAAATTATGGGAACTTCCTAGATTGTTTTCTGATCACTATCCTATTATTTTAATGGAGGATGATAGGGACCGGTGCCCTAAACCCTTCAGGTTTCTTAATGCCTGGCTTTTACATCCAAAATTCCTTTCCTTTGTTCAGCAAAGTTGGCCAGAATTTAGTGTGGCAGGATGGGCAGGGTACAAGTGTCTTATGAAGTTTAAAGCACTGAAACAGGGTCTTAAGAAGTGGAATGTGGAGGTGTTTGGTATGATTGAATTAAAACTGAAAAGTGTGGAAGATGAGGCTCATTCGTTGGATTTGTTAGCAGAGGAGAGACCATTACTTGATACAAAATTGATTAGAAGAAAGGAAGTGAGGGGTGAAGTTTGGAAGTTAAGTAAAATGTTGGAATAGATTTGGTTACAAAAATTTCAAGTGAATTGGGCAGCTAAAGGGGATAAAAACACCAGGTTCTTCCATATTATGACATGTAGCAGAAATAGCAGGAATTCTTTGTGTTCAATACCAATGAATGGTAGGTTGCTTGAAGAGCCTTCAGAAATTAGGGATGCAGTTCAGGTTCATTTTATGAGGCTATTTTTGGAAGATTGGAAAGTCCGACCCAAATTGTCTGGCCCTTTTATGAATAGAGGTGGAGCTCAAATTGTGGCACAATTGGAGGCAGGTTTTACAGAGGAGGAGATCTGGAATGCTATTAAGTGTTGTGATGGAAATAAAGCTCCTAGGCCTGATGGGTTCAACATGTCCTTTTTTAAGAAATGTTGGCAAATAGTGCGGGTTGATGTGTTATAGTTTATGAGGGAGTTCCATCAGAATGCTAATCTGGTTGGTGGAATTAATATCTCTTTCATCGCTCTAATTCCAAAAGTTTCAAGTCCTTCTTACTTGAATGAATATAGGCCTATTAGCTTGATTGGATCCTTATACAAAATCTTAGCTAAGGTGTTAGCTAACAGATTGAAAAAGGTGATGCCCAAGATTATTGGTGAGGCCCAGTCAGCTTTTTTGGGGGGAAGGAATATTTTAGATGGAATTCTGATAACTAATGAAATAGTGGATGGGTGGAAAAGATCTAGCCGAAAAGGTTTGGTGCTAAAGTTAGATTTTGAAAAGGCCTACGACTCAATTAATAGGGAGTTTTTATTTGATATGATGTCGAAGTTTGGTTTTGGAACAAGGTGGGTTAGATGGATGAAATCTTGTGTTTCCTCTGCCAAAATCTCTGTCTTAGTAAATGGGTCACCAACACCTGAGTTTTGTCCACAAAGAGGTCTTAGACAAGGTGATCCGTTGTTACCATTCTTATTCAACATCGTAGCAGTGGGCCTCAATATTTTACTAAGTAGAGCTAAGGAGTTGGGTCTAATTACAGGGGTAGTGGTGGGTTCTAATGGCCTTAGAGTCACACATTTGCAATTCGCAGATGACACGATTTTGTTTTGTGATGTGAATAAGGTGGAGGTGACCAATATCAAAAGAATTCTAAGATGTTTCGAGATTGCTTCAGTACTGAAAATCAATTACCACAAGACTGTCATATGTGGTGTTGGGGTGGATGAGGAACTAGTGCAGGAGTTTGCTTACTCTTTAAATTGTCTTCACCAAAAGCTGCCTCTCAAATATTTGGGGCTACCTTTGGGGGCAAACCCTAGCAGGAGGAGTACCTGGAAACCCGTTCTCGACAAGGTCAAACAGAAATTGTCCACATGGAAGAGAAGGCTGTTATCCTTTGTCAGGCATCTAACTTTAATCAATTATGTAATGTCCTCTTTACCTATTTATTATTTATCATTGTTCAGAATTCCAACTGGAGTGGCTAAGGTGATTGAGAGATTGCAATCAACTTTTGTTTGAGGTGGCTCTGATCTTAGAAGAAAAGTTCACATGGTCCGGTTGGAGGTGATTACTAAAAATAAGAAATTAGGAGGGTTAGGTGTGAGAAGGATTAAAACTTTGAATCAATGTTTACTATTAAAATGGTGGTGGAGATTTGGTGTGGAGAATCAATTGCTTTGGAAGGAAGTGATTTGTGCAAAATATGTGCCAGTGGATGGAAGATGGTACCCAAATCTGATTGGTAGGGAATCAAAGCTCTGGACTGATATAATTCATGTTGTTCTTTACAATCCAGAGCTGCATCAATTCTATATGTATAATTCTCAGCTGGTTCTGGGGGATGGGAGAAGAGTTCTCTTTTGGAGGGACAAGTGGGTGGGTAATGTATGCTTAATGGATCAATTCCCAAGGCTTTTCTTATTATGTAATGATAAAAATAGTGTGGTTAGTGTGTTTTTTGAAAGAAGGGCAGAGGATGGTGGATGGAATTTGGGATTTAGAAGATCTTTGCTGGTTTGGGAGGAGGAAGAAGCATATAGATTATCTTGTCTGCTTGGCACTGCACCAACACTGTATAGCACCAAACCTGATGAGCTTATTTGGTGTGCAGACCCATCTAAGATCTTTTCTGTTTTATTAGTATATAATTAAACTGATGAGCTTATTGAGGCAGCCAATTCCAGTGGCTGCCTCAATTTGGAACAACTTTGCGCCCCCAAAAGTGCAATTTTTTGGGTGGTTAGCTTGGCTTGGTAAGGTTAAAACCTCTTCTTTCCTTCATAGAATTGGAATTCTCACAGGAAATGTAAATCTTGGCTGTGTTTTTTGTCATAATGAGGTAGAATCTGTGGAACATATTTTGCTACACTGCCGTTTTGTGTGGCTGCTTTGGTCAGATATTATTCACTGGTGGGGATTGTAGTGGGTGATTCCAGGATCTGTGCATGGTTTGTTGAGTTGGTGGTCTGGATGTGGAATGCACAAGCTGGAGAAGAAAATCTGGACGGTAATTCCTTTGGCCACTCTCTGGTCCACTTGGAAGCACAGAAATGACTCTGTCTTTAATGGCTCGTAACCAAATCTAGAAGCTTTGTGTGAATTAGTGAAGGTTAGAGTTGCTAGGTGGTTCAAAGCATCGAAACTCCAGGTGGATCTCTCTATAAATGATTTGGTTTTAATCTGCCTCAGGTGAAATATTATATCAGGAATGGAGGTTGAAGGCTTTAGCTCAAGTCTGGTGTTTTTTGTCCTCATAAATTTGCTGGGCTACTGACTGGAGTTCAAACAAGCAGTTCACTGATTTTTACTGAGTTTGTAGAATGACTAAAGGGCTGCAGTATTGTTCATGGGAATTTCAAGGAGTGTAGTTCCAAGGCAATGTAGTTTCAAGGAGCAAATCGGCAGTTCTCTGATCTGTGCTGGTTTCTTTTCTGGTTGAAGGCATTGCATGTTCAAGGGTGATGGTTTATGAATGGATGCTGTGATGCTTGGGTGCTGCTCTGTGATGGAAGGGTGTGATCTGATCTGATCTACTGGTAAACTGCTGCTGCATGTCTAATTTAGTTTTGTGCTGCTGTGATGCTTGGGTGCCATTGTTTCTTTGTTTTGCTATGTTTGTTGGCCTTCAGACAAAGCATCTCTGTTTTTGCACCAGTGTTGTTGTGATGCTGTCTCCAATACCTCATGGATGCTTTGTGATGGAAGGGTGTGATTTAGTGTTGTGGAGCTCACAAATAAACTGCTGCTGCATGTTTATTAGGTGGTTGCTGTGCTGCTGTTTCTTTGCTTTGATTTTTTTGTTGGTCTCTCACCAACAAGGAAGTTGGAGCTTAATCTAGCTCTAAACTCCTCTTTATTGATGTTGTCCTTCATATGTAATCTATATGTGGTTCATCAATAAAGTTATCTTTTGCCAATCAAAAAAAAAAAAAAAGAAGTCAGTGTTCAAGTCTTTCACCGCATGATCAAGGAAGTCCCCTTTCTTTTCCTCTGGGCAAGCTATTCTCTCCTTTAACATTGCTCTTATTACCTTTTCTAACTTGTCCTTATCCTACAATCAAAAATCATAATCAAAATCAAATAAACTTTTGCGAAGGTAGAGTTTCCCTTTTTGTTTTCTAGTGTTATTATTACCGTCATACATTTGTAGAATCTAGTACCAGGGATGTTCAATGAAAAGGACATAAGACCTCGCACGAATCCAGCAATGGTGTCCGTTATAACATCAGATGACTTTTCAAAATCATGACCAAACAAATTTTTTGTAGCAAAAACTGCAACCATCCACAAAATCCATGACAACAAATTTATTCATGAACTAACATGCCAATAGCTTCAGAATTTATATGTGAATGAGCTTGACCCTAATAATAATAATAATAATAATAATAAGGGGATAATTTTTTATTTTATTTTTTTTAAAAAAAAGCAAGAAAGAAAGAAAGAAAAAAGAAAGAGAAAAGTCAGGGTTTAACACTTATAATAAAATAAACTCTAAATTTTTAATTTTGTCAATTTATACTTTAATTTTTTGATTTGGTTTCAACTTAAGCCATCAATGTATTTATGTTAAGTAAAACTGACAAGGAAAATGAAATTTTAGTTATTAAATTTAATGAAAAATAATATTTTAGACATTTAAAGTACACCTACATTGAGTTTAATAAATACGTTTTTTTTTTTTGCAAATAAAAAAAAAAAAAAAAAAAAAAAACAAGCAAAAAAAAAAAACTAAAATATTTTTTTTTACTATCCATTTACTTAACGAAAATAGTCAAATAGTTTAAATTGAAAATAAATATTAAAAAAAAATATGGTTTAAATTTATTTAATTAAAAACTAAAAATTATTTTGTTACAAAAGTTAAATTCTGATTTTGCCTTTCTATTTTTTCTTCAATAAATATGTTACCATCCAAATAGAGACATGATCATGAATTTAAAAAACCTGTATATTAGGACCCTAAATTGTTTAACATCACAAAAAAGGCAAACTACAATTTGAAAATAATCTTTACAAACACAATTATTAAAAGAAGTTTTTGAAACTTTATTTTGTTGCAAAAAATATTTAAAAACCAATTCTATTGTATAGTCAGTAAAAAGTCATTCCGAAAAGTTCAAGAAAGGCTTTTAATGACAAAATTTTAAAAATGTCACTAAGAAATGCACTTTTGGGGACAAAATAATTCGGTCTCAAAAGAGTTTTCTTTTTTAGGCAAAAATTTTGATTCCAAAGAGATAATAATTCATTATTAATGTCCAATTTTCATTGCTAAATGTTAGAAATTGGGCGCCCATGTGGCATGACCCTTTGAACCTTTTGAACCTTATCCATGTAAGTTTGAATTTGAATTCAAAACTTACTTGGAAAACCACTCAGGATATCCATATCTGTCATATCAATTGATATAGATAGATAAGATATTATCCTATATATCTGATATGATATGGGATATGGGTGATTAAGAGAAAAACAACGTATATCGTATGTTTTTCCCATATACTGATTCTCTCCCAAAATACAACGATCAAGAGCCATTTTGCACTGTGACTTGTGTGGGTGATATTCATTCTGTAATATCACTCCATTGCTAGGTTGATTGATCAGATTCAGGAAGCACGTGATTTACCCACGAGATCCTTCAATTCAGACTCTGCAGAAAAAAAGTATCACCATAATTTTTCATCCGTTGTGTTTATACTTTAATTTACATTGGTATCAAAGCATGGATGGGTATTTTCGTATTTTCTTTAATCATGTGTATATTATATATATATATATATATATATGTACACATTATATACATGAGTGTTTATAAAGGAGGAAAACTTCAACTCCCATTAGATTGAGAGTGTGGTACACCTCATTTTTATGTTCATTAAATGTGATTTTTGATGCCATAAATGTTTTTGTTGTGAAAAATGGAGTTCGGGAGTACCGAAATCGGACCAGAAAACAGCCCAAAAGGCGGCGCATGTGCCTCACGTGCCAGATGACACCGTCAGCGGTGGGCACGCACTGCCACGCGCCTATAAGCGCGTCAGCCGCGCTGTCCACTCGCGCGCCGTCCGCGCCATACACGCGTGCCGCGTGCTGAGCCGTATGCCGAGCTGCGCACTGAGCCGCACCGTTTTTCCTCCGCCGGCTTGGCTGGCTTGGCTGCTGATGCATAAGGCTCTGTTTGTTCTGTTTTAAATTCTAAATCGCGTTAAATGGTCATAATTAATTCGTTATAGCTTTGTTTTAAGCGTGGTTGGTGCCGTTAGACTCAGAATTAAATTTTTTATCTTCTGTAAAATTTTGAAAATTTTTTGAAAATAAAAAATGTTTTTCCTGAAATAATAATTCATTATTTCTGGTTTAAAATGCATCTGGTGCTGCATGACTAAGTTCTGGGGATGATTTTTTTATTGTAGACTACTGTTGTAGTTTTCTATTTACTGGTATAGTTATAGCATTTTACCAAATTCTAGAATATTTATTTCTAATTTTATGTGTGTTTATTAGTTATTTAAAATTTCAGAAAATACCAGAAAATTCCAGAAGTGATATAGTTTCTGTTATGGCATAATTTGAATATTAAATACAACATATTGTTATTTTTTTCCTAAAATTTCTAATATGTTGTAATTAGAATAGCATGTTTAATTGTTATTTGTTTAAATTCCATTATTAATTGTGACATAGCATGAGTTGGTTGTGAATTTACATTATGATGCTATTGTATGGAATTAGAATTTTTTATCATGCTTTTAGACATGCCATAGTCAGCGGGAAGTTATTCGGTTGAGAGAAATCTTTGTAGATTAACTCCCGAAAATCAATATTTTGCGCATAAATTAAATTAAATTTCGGATAATTGTCACTTGTGGCGCAAGAGATGATTACGAGCATAGCAGATTTTCGATTTTGCGACTTGTGTAATATTGTCACTATTTAATTTAAAGTTTTGTGGCAAAATTATATTATGCTAATCAAATTAATCCCAATGCAAATTTCTCTCTAAATTGACTTAGCTTATGGAAGTTAATTGGTTAACCTAGACTTAGTAAAGATATTCAAATGTGAACAATGTAATCCCATTCTTTAGATGGGCAAAAGTCTTGGAGACTTTAGGTCAAGCCTTAATTGAGCCAAAGTAAGGAAACATGACTCAAAGTCGCCGTGGTTTTGTTGCCTTGTTTGACATAATAAAAACTAATGTGTGCACTATGGTTAGCGGCACGCTATGTAGTTTTGGTTGGCGAGTTTTAGAGTTATGAAATTATTAAGCCCTCAATAGATCTGTATATGATCTTGACTATTGAGTTGAGCGGATTGACTTTGTAATTTGACTTGTAAATAATGTTACATCATTGGATGAAGTAACATTCAAGAGTCACGTCATCCAAGAAATGCGAGCTTAAATAAATTAGTCATTAAGTGTAAGACGAGTAGCCAGTACGAGCAGTGTTTTGCTCTCTATCCAATCTCTCCCAAAAACACAACGATCAAGTCTTTGCACTGTGATTTTGTGTGAGTGATATTCAATATTGTAATATCACTTCACTGCTGGGTTGTTATTGGGAGTGGATGGAGCAAAATTTCATGCACTATAATAATGTGCATTGAAATATCACGTGAAGTTAAAGATTAACGCTTAGAAGCTGCAAAATCTATTAACACTAAGTGAAAAGATTAGCGCTTAGTGGCTGCAAAATCTATTAGCATTGCAACTTGTCTAAGTCTGGACACTTACTGTTTCCACACTTGAGTGTGAGACATGAGGAGGGGCTTCTTTGTATGATTCCTTAGCTAGGCTAACGTTTTTGAATAACATTTACCACTAAGCGCAACATTGCAGCAATATAATGAAAAGGTCAAGGACGACAAGGTTGTTATGACTCTAAGAATTTGACGCATGGCTCGTGAGAGCATTGTGTTGAATTAGACTCTTTAGCCTAATTCGCGCTTAAGTTACTCAGGAGCTGTCATAGTTGATAGCTTATTCTCTCCTTCTTGTGGATAGTAGAATTAATTGCAAGTAACTATGAAGCGAGAAATAGATATGGCAAGAGGAGTATCATCATCTTTCAACTAGATGCAATAAAGTATATGGAGAATAAAATTGACTTGAAAGTGCAGGGGATTAGCACTTACTAGTTAAGTTTGCAACTTAGGCGCACTTGATACTCCATGAATCCTTTTATGATCTAGTGAATATGAATTAGTCGCGAGTCATTACCTAGTTGGGCCTAAACCTTTAAAACTTGTCTTCGAGAACTCCACATTAAGATGATTGGAATTAGTTTATGACATTGGTCATGAACCAGTGGCTTATTATACTTAATCACATTAATGAGATGATGACACGATGGTTTGAGTAGGCCTTCTTGGGCCCACTCGCTTATGACATCTTGCTCTCACGTGAATGTGTAACTTTGTTCGCAATGGGTGCGCACAAGTAAGAAGGAAAGCCATAGAAGGTCATTTGTTATGGCGCATTTAGTCCACTATGATATTTGTGACTAGATATGTGTATGGGTATGATAGCTAAGCCTCAATCTTGACACATTTATAGATTACGATACGCATCTGAGTCAAGACTATTTGATCTCCCATAAGTTAAAAGTTTTGAGATGATTTTTGACATTGCACATATGAGGTTGAGATCAATTAGATAATAGCTTTCGTGCCTTTAGTTTTGACCAAGGTGAGTATCTATTTGAGTTATTTTAGAAAACTCTGTGAATAGAGAGATGGATGCTTAGAAAATTGATTATTCCTGGTACTCAATACACAATGGTGTAGTAGAGATAAGGAATTAAATATTGTTAATGTTAGGGGGATAATGGCGCAAAATGTTTCCCAATTGGGAATTGCACTAGTTTGTTGCCTATATCCCTAACTAAGTGCCCTCCATATCAAGTTTTACACTCCATTTGAGTAATGGGATAGCGGAGAGCCATCTATGGGCGATCTGTAACCGTTAAGCAGCTTATCTTTATTTACTTCTCATAAGATTGCGAAGTTAAGACCTAGGGTTCTATAGGACATTATTGTATACTGTCTTGTAACACAAAGGGTCGTGTGGGGCATTATTGTATGCGGTCATGTAAACCCTCCGGGTCATGTGCATATAGGTAAGCAGCTCTGTGGTAGTGTAACTAAGTCACATAAAGTTTTATTAGTAAATGTGACGTGAATAGAGTTTTTGGAACCCTATAAGATAGAGAATTCTAAGCATAGCGCTCTATGTAGCCTAGTTGAAAATGGAAAGAAATTTCCAATATCCTAGGGAC